TACTTAAGGCCTGGCAGCCGGCGGAGCCGGGGCCCGGGCCCTTCTCGGGGGTTCTGTCCTCCTTTCACCGGAAGCCCGGCCCCGCCCTGAAGACCAATCTCTTCTAGCCGCCGGCCTCTGGAGGCTCTGAGCCGGCCCCCAGAGACGCCCCTGTCCCTCCGGGACCCGACAGAGTCCCTCCCCATCCCGGCCGCCTGCCTGGAAGTACCCATCCGTCCCTACCCCCCACGGCGTCTGACCCTTAGGTGTGCCCTCCCCAGCTCTGGAGACCAAATCAGGGCCACTCTCGTCCTCGCCAGCACCACCAAGCAGAGCGGAATACTTTTCACCGGGACCCCCTGCGGGAGAGCCCGGAGCCCCTTCTAGCTTGGCCTTCCTTGGAACTGGGATCAAATAACGGCTGTCCTTAACGCAAACGTGAGGGTCCTCAAGGAGCGGCACGGCCCCCTCCCCTTGCTCTGCAGCTGGCTGGGTCACTCCTTGGTGACCTTGAGTGCCCGCTGCCCCACCCCTCGGGCCCACCCGCACTGACCCCACCGTGCAAAGGCCGGTCATGGCCGGGAAAACAAGCTGCCTGAGGGATCCCACCGCCAACTCCTCCCTAACGCGTCCCCTCCCATCCCTAACCGGTCTGGCGCAGTGTGGGCCTGTTAGAGGAGTGGCGGGGCGGCCTGAGGAACGGGACAGAGGGGTTTCCCTTTTCCTGATTTTTTTGGTTGTTGTTGTTATTGTTCCTTTTCTTTGAAAAACTTGTAATTTATTGAGGTGAGTTTTGTTCAATCCAAATAAAACTTAATTTATTGAAGACATTATGCTGGCAACCCTTCTGAGTGCCCAGGATGGGAACAGGCTGCCGGCAAGAACCCTGTCCCCGGTTGCGACGTCCAGGAAGGACCACCCCCCTCCACCCTCCGCCGCCCCAGCGCAGGGCGGCATAGACCAGGAGACAGTGAGAACTACGCAAACTAGCACTTTATGGCCGAGATCCTGACCCCTCCAACCGACCCCAATAATATTAAGGTGCCCTCCCTCCCCAAACCCACACAGAAAAGCTTAAATAACCCCCAGCCCGGTCTTCGGGCTGTTCCTTCATTTCCGGACGGACACCCCTTGAGTGGGGGTTGGGGGAGATCCTAGAGGAGCTCCTCCCCTGTGGTTCAGGCCCGCTGGGGGGCAACAGAAACAGCGGTGAAAGTGGGGACCCAGACGTACCCAGCTGGACCCCTACGGGTACCCCTGGGACTGGGAGGAGGGGTCCAGAAAAAAGAGGACAGCATCAGAGTAGCCAAGATCCGTGGTAACCACGGCAACTGACCTCCGGAGCCCTAGGCCTAAAAGGTGAGGTGCAGGATGTCCTAATTAGGGCATTCCAAATGGTTGGGCAGTGGGAAACGCAGATCCCCAATAAATAGGCAGAGGTACTTCCCCGCCCCTCACAACTTTCCAACCCGGGGGAAGTTATGGCTGGGTCTCCGTAGAAGGGGAGGGGCGCTGAGTTCGCAACTTCGCGGTCCCACCACTATCACTTGCTGAGCTGCAGAGTGTCCAGAAGGAGGCGCTTGTGAGCCGGGTCCTGCACTCCAGCCTCCTCCAGGTCCTCCTCAGTGATGTCACTGTGGGGGTAAGAAAGGCTAGGAGACGGGCTAGCAGTTCTAAAAGCGCCCGTAGCTCCTCCCCCGGGGCCAGACCCTCTCCATCCACCTCCTGCCCCGCCCCCACCTGAGAAACTCCAGGTCGTCCCAGCCATTGTGCACCAGGCCCTCCTCATAGCGCTCCAAGCCGATGGCCCGCAGCCAGGCACCCATGCCTGCCTCGCCCAGCCCGCTGGCCCGCCCGCCCTGCGGGCACCGAGCCTGAGGGAATAGGCATATGAGGGGGAGCACTGAGGGTGTAGACAGCCACATTCTACAGCGTGCTCTGGGGGGAAGGGAGGCAAGGACTGGGCTCACTCATGTTCCCCAACTCCTCAGGGCCCAGATCAGGGACACCAGTGAGTGCTGAACTGTGGAGCAAAAGGATACCACAATCCCTGGGCAAGCACACTCCTCAGGTACACAGACAGCCACCCCTGGGCCACACACCTCCTCTGCCAGGTCCTCCTGGATGCTCTCTCTGATGCGGGGCGGAGGGAAGCTGAGGGGCCGGCCATAATCCACGGGCAGTCCTCTGGGTGGCTGCAGCTCCAGTGGGCTTGGGAGGAGCACTGAGCGGCCAGGCCCAGCAGGAGCGTAATCCACCTCACTCAGTGTCTTAGCCATCTGCAGCACTGAGCAGGACCGGTCGTCCCCACTGGCTGCCTCTCCTAAGAAAGTGCTGGCAGGTGAGGGGCCTGGGGGCAGTGGGGGCCTTGGATGGGCCTTGGGAGGTGGTGGGCCACGTGCCTCACCGCCACTACGGCCCCGGACCACTGGCCCTGGCAAAGGATCCAGGCTGGGGGGCAGAAAGATGGCCGAGTCTGGCAGTGGTGGGGGTGGAAAGTCTGGAGGGGGCAGCGTGCCCCCAGACTCCTCATCTGATGAGCTTCCCTCTCCCACATGTGGGGGCCGGTGGCGTCCAAGCTGTGGAACGGGCACTGTGATGGCCACTTTGTTCTTGGTAGCAGGCGGGACAGGAGCCCTGGCAGGCGACGGTGGCTCTGGGGGCAGCAGCTGGTGCGGAACCCCTTCAAGGACATAGTAGGCAGGATTGTTGAAGCTGTTCTTCGGTGGGGGGGCTGCCACCCCTTCTGGCTCAGGTGCCCCCTCTGGCTTCAACCTGAGTTTGGGAGCAGGATAACTAAGTCAGGACCCAGAAACCCAAGAGAAGTCAATGGGTGCAGGGGAGGGAGAACTGGACAGGAGTCGGGAGACTTGTGCATGACCTTGAGCACATCCGCTCGCCCTCTCCCACCCTTTGTTTCCTCATCTCTAAAAGTCGTGGAGGGTAGAGGGGGATGCTGAATGGAAAACCCTAAAATCCCTTACCTCACTTGCTAAGATTCTCAGATCTTTTATGACTTTGTCTGTAACGTGAAACTCGAGCTCAGATGGGTGAAAACAGAGGTGCCAGAAGACAGGGCAACAAAGGCCTCTAATGAGAATGACAGGCCAGATTTGGAAAGCCTCCCGAGACTTAGGTCGCCCTACTGCAGAATCTTACTCAGGGATTCAGATTTGTTTTACTTAAGCCCGAGAATGACAGGCCAGATTTGGAAAGCCTCCTGAGACTTAGGTCGCCCTACTGCAGAATCTTACTCAGGGATTCAGATTTGTTTTACTTAAGCCTGGGGATAAAACCAAGGTGACTGATAACAGCTAAAGATGAGAGAAAAAACACCATAGCTATACCTACAAGTTTTTATTTATGTTCAAGCGACCATTGGTTATAATCAGAAAGCAAGCCTCACTTTCCCATAGTACGATCCACAGAACACTAGTTCCCAGGACATTAGTAGTTATTATGTGGAAAAGAAGTTTCCTGGCCTATTAAGTTTGGGAAACTATATTAAACCGAGCTGAAAAGAGGTTTCCTTCCTGTCCACATGCTGAGAGCTTTTGCTAATACTAATGTACGCTAGGAATATCTAAGAAAAGAATCTAGCAAGAAGCATTTCCCAAACTCATTTCACCACAAACTATTTCTAGTGAGGCCTCTTGCAGGACAGAGTTCCACGGAAGAATCTTGGGAAACCCCATGCTAAGCCATGTGCCTTCTCCAAACAGAAGGCTCAAGCTAGGCCTGGTGACACAGAGGGAGCTGTTTTTAAAACAATTTCTTATTCCATTTTTTAAGGCAAAATTGAGAGGAAAGGCTGACTGTGCTCTCTTTGACTCAGAGAGCCACACCTAAGGAAGGCCTGGCTGGCCAGAGTGGTCATGGGCATAGGGCCATGGCACCTCTAGCCACATGTTGGCAGAGCACCCAGACAGCAGATGACCCCCAGGCTGGCCTTGAGAGACAGGCATATGATGGATAGATTGGGGGGATGACACGTTCCTCCTCTCACCTGGGGGTCAAGGGTTCCTCCCGGGGAGTTGCTCGGGGTGGGGCTGGAGGCCTCCCAGTTGGTGGTGGTTTCTCTGTTTCTTCAAATAACTTGGACAATGGGCAAGAAGCCTCTGTGGGGGCTGGCTTGCGGCTCCCTGACCTGCTGGGGTTGCAGGGAGAGGGGAGATGAAGTGGAGCTGACCAAAAGCCCCTGGTACTCCTTCATGTGACACCCAACACAGCCCCAGCTCACCGAGGCTCCTGGCTGCCTCGGGACACAGAAGGGGCTTTGCTCTTTGTTGCTGCTTCATCCTTATCAATGCTGATCCACTCTAGGGGGTTAAGGAGGAGAGACTCAGAGGGGACTCGGGCTCCTGGATCCCACAGACACCCACTGGGCCTGCCAGCCCCTTCCCAGCTACTCCTCCGGGCCAGTCCACTCCCAGCCCTTGAGATGCCTAGAATCTCAAGGCATCCCAGGGATTCCAGCATGCCCCCCACACCAAGACCTCCCCTCCTAGGTCTGCCCATGCCATCCCATCACATGCCCCACCCCTCCCAATGGAGCCCCCACCGTAGAGCCGCTCACGGGTGCCCAAGCGCTCCGTGGGCACCCGCACCTTCATGGAACCACGGATGTTGCCTGTCTCTTCGCCGCGGTGGGACAGGAAGGTCAGGAATTGCTGGGCCGTGCTGCCAATCATGGACTTGAGTGCCACCACGCACTCCCCTGAGGGGCAGGTGGGAGAGACAGCAATTGCCAAACCTTTCTAGGGCCTTGCCTGGCTTCCTGTACCCCTCGGGATGCCTTGCCCCTCACCATAGGATTCATAGCCGTCCATGGACTTGACTGTGAGCAAGAGGTGCTGGTCCTGCAGGTACTCGATGTCAGCCAGAATTGGCTTGAGCTGGGGAGCAGAGAGGTCCAGTGAGGAACAAAGCCCCAACTACTCCCTCCTGGTCCTCCCCCAGGCTACCCCTGCCACCACCCACCCTGACCCTCAGCCTCCTACATGCTCACTCACACTCAGGTCTTAAGGAAAGATCTCAAATCCTTAGAGTAGAAGACACAGCCCTGCATGGGCCTTTTATAGCACTTAACATGATAGTAACTAATTAATTTTCTGCATCCTCAATGCCCAACACTGGATCTGACATTTAGCAAAAGCTCAAATGAATGAACAAACTGCAACTTGGTTCCACACCCCCCAAATAAAACAAATGCCCTTATCCAGACACACACACAGACACACAGAGGCTCTGCCTGCCCCGCCTGCCCTCCTAGGCAGAATCCCCAGTGTGTTCTGCCACACCCCTCTCTGTGCCTGGGCCCTGCCTACAGCCTCACCGTGGGCAGCTGGCGTGAGGACCACTGCACTTTGAGGAAGTTGATGTTGTCACTGCTCTGGGCATCATTCTCAAAGCTCTTCTTGTATTCTGGAGTAAGGGTGGACACCCAACTGAGTACCACCTCCTGGTTTCCCTTTCCCCTAATTAGGGAACTAACCGCTCTGGGCACCTTCTGGCTTCCCAGCCCCGTAGGCCCACACCCAGCCCCAGACCCTGCCTCTGACCCTCCAGGCAGGTGGAGTAGAACTCAATGAAGAACTTGGTGCGGCTGGCTGTCTTCACAATGGCCTCGATGCTCTCAAATTCAATGTAGGCCTGGTCTGAAGTCTTTGAGAGCCCTGAGGGGCAAGGGAGGAAGGCAGACAGGAGGGCTAAGAGGGCATGTGAGGGTCACAGGAGGAATGGGAGAGAGAGACTGAGCCCTGGGACAGGAGATCAAGGGCCCTGGCAGAGCAGGAGGAAATTAGAGGAGGAATTGGGCCTCCCCAATTCCAAAGCCACCAATAGGAGATCCCAAAGCCCCGATCCTGGACCAGAGCAAAGAGACAACTCAAGGATAAAAGACTCATCTAGGAGGGAGCTGGGGACCTGAATGCCTGTGGGCTTGCCCACCACCATGCTACGGGGACATACATGTGGCCCCAGCTGATACAAACACACAGATATGTCTATACACACACACACACACACACGGCCCCAGATGATACAAACACACACACACACACACACACACACACACCACATTCCTGGGTATACACCTTATGATGACCCAGCACACAGATACCCTCACGCAGCAGTTACTCAGAAACACTCCTGCACTCACGTGCCCACACACCGAAACACACACATACACTTATGAAGAGTCAAACCTAACGGCCCCAGATGATACAAACACACACACACACACACACACACCACATTCCTGGGTATACACCTTATGATGACCCAGCACACAGATACCCTCACGCAGCAGGTACTCAGAAACGCTCCTGCACTCACGTGCCCACACACCGAAACACACACATACACTTATGAAGAGTCAAACCTACACACATCCCCAGGCCATCACCTGTGCCCACCCAGATGTTTGCCACTACCATAAGCACATCCAGAATAGTCACCTTTCTTGGAGATGAACTGAGAGGTAACTCCAACTTCAAATGTCCCAAACACAGGTGAGTGGTCGCTGGTGACGATGTCATCAGTGCAACCTGGGGAGGGAGGATAGGAACGGGGGCTCAGAGGAACATCCCTACTCTCTGCTCCCACCTCCCAAAGCCGGGGCAAAGTTGGGACAGTGGCCACCCAGGCCATCCCGTCACCCTGTTCAGGAGGCTCTGACCATAGGAATTGCAGATGATGTGGGTCTCAGGGTAGGATTTCCAGAGAATCCGGTCACACCATGAGGGCACGTTGGTCCGGACCTGGGGCAGGGAGTGGCAGCGTGGTCAGAGCTGACAGCTGGGGGCTGCTCAGCATGGACCCCAGCCCACAGGTGGTGAGGCCCCACACCACCAATACGCTGGGCTCCAACACCCCTCCCTCCTTAGATCCTCACAACATGCAGGATCACCCCAAAGGCCTCAGAGAGGCCATATAAGCTGGAGTGGTAACTGCAGAGGTGCAGACCCTTGACCCTACATATACTCTTGACTCACTGCAGGCCTGGGGGTCACCCAAGGCCCATGCCATTCTCTTGGCTCACCCCAGTTGGCTTCTGCTTGTGCCAGGCGTATGTGTCCCGAGAACCGCGCTCATAGCGGTAGGTGGGTGGGAAGGAGATCTCCTCCTCACCTAGGGAAGGCAGGAGACAGGAGGGGTTTGGACCCTGAAAACCCAAGGATACCACAAGCCCCTCATCCTCAGGGACCACCTGATGGGCCCACACTCACTGAATCGAAGGAAGACCTTGTGCTTCTCCCTTTGGACCCTGAAAACCCAAGGATACCACAAGCCCCTCACCCTCAGGGACCACCTGATGGGCCCACACTCACTGAATCGAAGGAAGACCTTGTGCTTCTCCCGTTCTAAGCTGAGCTGGTCCACCCTAAGCAGGGGCTCAAACTCCTTCCTGCTGATGTAGTTCAGGATCTCCTGGGGTGGGGGACACAGAGGCTGGGCACCTTCCTCCTGAGCCAGAGCCATCTGGCCCCCAACCTCCTCTCAGCTACCCAAGGGCCCGGCTCACACCTGGATATCCATGTCCAGGCGGTAGTTGAGGTCCCCAAACCAGAAAAGGTGAGTGAAACGCAGGGAGATGTCAAACGCACTGAGCTGCCGGTCGCCCAGCGAGAGCAGACGCAGGATATCCAGGTAGTTCTGGTTCCGCCTACAGTGGGGGTTAGAAGGTAAATCTTCAGGGTCAGGAGTCGGGGACAGGTGTAAAGGGAAATAGTGTCTGGGGTCAGGGATGGGGAAGGGACCAGGGTCCCTGGGGACAAAGGGAGGAGCTGGGGACCAGGTCAGGTTCAGGAGCAGACAGAGGGGTCTTGAGTTGGGAGAAGGGAGAAGGGGGTCTCTGGGGACAGGGATGTAGGAGGGTCATGGACTGGGATATGGGAGAGGGAAGATGTCTCAGGTGAATAGGGAGTAAAGAGACTATTGGGAAGGCACCCCCTCACCGGGCAGTCTTCTCATTTCCAGAGGTGAGATGACAATTCACAAAGCCAAATGAGGTGCCATTGAACATGAAGGAGACACCCACAGCTCCCTTGTTCCCTGTCATAGCAAGCAAAAGAGGAAGGCCCAGGTCACCATCAAAGGGTTCCCAGTTCTCCCCTTTTCCCCTCGAAGTAGCACTGAGAGGACCCTTCCTACCTACCCCACCCCCAAAGGCTATGAGGCAGGCAGGCCCCTGAAGGTCCTCATGGGGCACACACAGTCCATCTGGATGGCCTGAGTCTGTCTGTATGTGTGAGCAGAGCCCTTGAACATCACAGGGGATCCCGAGAGTGAAGCTGAAAGGCCCTGCAAATTCTGAGCAGAATCTATCCTGGGGGAGCACTGGACCCCAAATCAGGAGAGCTGGGTGCCGTGCCTGGCTCTACCACTTACTTGCTGTGTGACCTTGGACAGGTCACTCAATGACTCTGGGAATGAGTTTTATCATCTATGAAATGGGGGTAATTATCCTGGCCCTGCCTTCCTGGTGGGGCTGGAAGAGATTTAGAATATAAGTATGCTTTACAAAATTCAAAGTACCCTATATATGGGGAAACAGACCACCAAAAAGGGGGAGACCCTGGGCTAGAGAGGAAACAAGAGGCACAGAGAGAGGGACCCCACTGCCCTTGGGAGCCTGCCCACTCTGCTCACCCAGGGTGTTGGCGATACCAGTCTTCACACTGGACGTACTGACATGGCTGATGCGGTTCTCATGCTCTGGCTTGACCAGCACGGCCACCTTGATGTTCCACAGTGACTGCATGGCAATCTGGGTAGAGGGTATGGGGTCACCCTTGCCCTGGGTTGGGGCCACTATCTGCATTCCCTGCTCCCCGGCCTATAGTATAGACTGTTCTGTCACTCACAGGACAGGAAGGCCTGCTATCCATGTCCCTGAGGTACCAGAGAGAAATGGGCCCTTCTATGGCATGAAGAACTCATGTTAGATCTCACAAAAGATATGCCCAGGAACCAAAGGGAAAGCCAGTCAAGTTGTGCTCCCCAGGGTCACCCATGAAGTCAAGCAGGATGGTTTGGGGGTGGTATGTGAGCTGAGGGGACTCACTGGGCGGTAATCCAGATCCGTGAGCTCCTTAAGGCCCCCGCGCAATAGGTCCAGCCATTCGCGGTCACCCACAGAGTTTTCCTGGGTCCCAAAGACATAGATGTCATGGGGTATGGTCACTGTGACTTCATCCAGGGTCTTCCCCAGACCCTTCGATGTGAACCAAGATGTCACGTTTTTTGGAGGTGGCACACTTCCTGGAGGTAGAGGGAATGAGGTGGGGGGGCAGGTCAGACCCCTGCCCTGGAGCCATCCCTCTATCCCACCCGGCCCCCGCCCAGGCCTGACCCATGTTCCAGGTGCCTATGAAGACAGAGATCATGTCAGGCTCGTCCTGCTTGGAGTGCTTGTTCTTCATGAGCTGCAACAGCTGGCAGAAGGCCTCCCGCTTCTGGTGGGACAGCAGCCAGTCAGGGCAGGTAGGCAGCCAGGAACCCCCCCTTCCACAGGGATACCCTGCTAGATGGCAGGTACTATGAGAGAAGGGTCATGCCTGTCTGGTTCACAACTGTATACCCATTGCCTGAGCATCTAACAGGTGCTTAGTAAATGTTCATTGAATGAATATCTGAACCCACCCTCGCTCTCAATACACTCTACCCTGTCAAAGCCATTCCTGTCAGGAAGGATGACATGCCTACAGCCAGCATGTGTTCCCTCTCTTCCCATCCAATGGGAAACACCCATCTGGGACCCTGCAGCCCCCAGTGGCCTAGCCCACCCTGCCACTCACCCGGGCACTGACAAAGATGAAGTCCTTGCGCTGGGTCCGGTCCTTCTCCTTCTCAAACACAACACCCAGCTTGTTCTGGACACGCTGGGACTTAATGAGCTGACGGACTAGGAGATAGAATACAGGTCACACAGGCTATGCCCCTAGGCTGAGGGCCCCACCCTGCCCACCCCTCTCAGGTCTGGCCCTGGCTCACTGCGGTCATGCGTGAAGGTCGTCCAGTCTTCCTGGGAGTCCCGCTGTCTCCGCAGCAGCACCAGCCGCCCACCCTCCACATCAACGCTCAGTGTGAACTTCTGCGACTTTCCGATCTTGGTCAGGTCACCCAGGGTCACATCTAGCTTCACCTGCAGGCCACGCGGTGGGAAGGCTGCTGACAAGAGACTGGGGAAAACAGCACCCCCTTCACCTCCAACCACCCTTTGCCCCATGAGGTCCCCCTGCCATGTACCTCAAAGGCCTGCACAGGGATGGTCTTGGCCTTACGTGTGGATGGCTGCAGTGGAGCTGGGGGTGCTGTGGAGCTCATGTCCTGTAGGGCCTTCAAGGCCTGGGGGGGGGCAAGGGCAGGATGAGGTCAGGGGACATGCTGAGAGCTGGGGCAAAGAGGGGCACAGTTGACGTTGGGGTCAATGCTAAGCTGTAGATTCAGGGTTGAGGTCAGTGCTAGGCCAATGAGAGTGGTCAGCAAATGAGAGGTTAGGGGTTAGAGGTCAGGAGTCAGGCCACCTTCTTCTGGATGCCTGACAGGAAGTCCTTTAGCACTGACAGCTTCAGCACCAGGCTCTCTAGTTCCTGCTCCCCAGTCTGTGGCAAGTTCTGGGAGGAGAGAAAGAATGAGGCTCGTACATGAACACCCTAAGCAGGAGCCCCCTCACCCAGCTCCAGAACATGAACCCTCCTCCCGGAGGTCTCCCTACAATCCCACCTGCTGCTGCAAAAGGCGAGTCACCATGGGGGAGCTCTGCTGGTCAAACACCTTGGACAGGATCTCCAGGCCCGACAGAACCTTGTCCACCTCACTAGGGGAGACATCAGGTCAGAACTCCCCACCCTGACCTAAGTACAAGGGAAGGGGGTGCTGAGTGTGTAGCCTCTACTTCCACCATGAGGATACAAGGGTACAGGTGAGGAAAAGTCAGGAGGCAATGGCCAGTTCACTCTTCAGGGTCAGAGGTCAGGGCATTTGTGCAGCATGGGACAGGTGAGGACAGGTCACAGGTAAGGTTGCAGTGCACAGGGTTGGGTGTCCCACATACCTGTGCAGCCTCCGGCATGAGGTAGCAAGGGTGCGGGTGAGGTGAGGCAGGTTGCTGGCTCCACCCCGCACAGCCTCCAGGTCCAGCCCGTAGCTACCCTTCAGGTACTCATGCGAGACGGTGCTCAGCCCATTGGGAGCACTTCAGGGAAGGGTTAAGAAATCAGTGGAGGTCCTGCTGACCCTGTCCCAGCACTCGAGCCCACCCGACCCCTAGAGGAGACAGTACTGGTGGCAACCAAAGCAGGATGGACCAGGGTGTCTGCCTCTGGAACTAAGATGGGATGAGAGTCTCTGAGGGGTTGGAAGGGGTCTCAGAAGTCTCTGGGGGGTTGGAAGGGGTCTCAGAAGGTCTCCCATATTTGGTGGGGAAACAGTTCTCAGAGGAAACAGGAGACACTCAGTGGAGGGGGCTGTGTCTTACCTCTCAGCAGCTGGTGTTGTGGGAGTCTCGGGGGCTGGCTGAGGGCTACTAGGCCCCAACGGGGCAGAAATGCTGGTGGAGCCAGAGCGCGGGGGCAATGGGGGCTTCTCATCCTCCCCATCTGTAAACAGAGGTCAGTGGGGCAGCAGTTTGGGTCTCTCACCCTCCATGGAATATAGGAAATGCCACAGCTGTCAGAGATTTCCACAGAAAAGTGGGGAAAGGGCCCCGGCATCACGGTTAGGAACAAGGGGGCTTCAGGGGAGATGGTGTTGCAATGAGAGGTTGGGAAGTAGCAGGTTGAGTCACGGTACAGGGTAGGGAAGGAATATGTCCACTGAACACTGGCAGTACCTGAGGCATCTCGGTCATCCAGCAGGTCTGGCTCTCGCTCCCCCTCCACTGGCAGGAGCAGGGCGCACACAAGGCCCTGGTTGGGCTGGGCGTACAGGCCGATGAGCTCACCAAGGGTCTGGAAGCGGCGCACGGGCACACCCTGCGAGGTCTGCGGGCCAGCAAGAGTGGGAGGAAAGGTCAGCCAGCAGGCCCCCAAGCCCTAGGCTGGATCAAGGTCAGGGCTCAGGGCTCAGGCTCCTACCTGCACAGCCAGGAAGTCTTCTCCATCCGGCAGGATGCGATATGTGTGCACATGCTTCTGATACCTGATGGCAAGGTAGGTGTCAGAATTTGTCACCCTTCGGCCAGCCAGTTAGCTCAGTTGGTTAAAGCGCAGTGTTATAATGCCAAAGTCAAGGGTTCAGATCCCCATACCAGCCAGCCACCAAAAAAAAAAAAAAAAAAAAAAGAAACTGTCATCCCTAGGCTGGGATCTAAGCCTCTTTTCCTGCCAGCAGGCCTATCCCCCTCAGCTTGGTTTCTCTACAACCACTTGCCCAAGCTGCACAGAGTTAAAGAGGGGCTATTCCAGCCTCCTAATGTTGCCAACAAGGGCAGGAATGACCAGACCCCAACCCCCACACCCCACCGCCAGACCTACATAGACTCCACACCCACCACAGGGCCTGGGAAGCAACAGGCAGCTCTTTTGTGGCCTCCACAGCTGTCTAAACAGCCCCTCTGGGCTGTGGTACCAGTCTGGGCCCCCGCCAGGGTAAGAGTCCTCAGAAGCCTGGTTAGCCTGTGTTTGCGTGCATGGGCAATGTGCTAACACACATGTGTGCCTGCTGTCTGTATTTGTTAGTGTCTGGCTCTGCTGAAGTCGGGTGTGCCTGGGGCAGTTTTGCTAAGGAGTGTGAGGGCATCACCCTAGGGCTTTTGCCCCCTTCCCCAGACACAAGGAGATTGGGATGACCCAAAGGAGCCTCCTATGGGAGACCCGGACTTCTAGGAGCCCCAAGCTGAGGAGGGATAAGAGAGGTGCTGACAGACAGCAGCAACAGCTGAGCAGGTGACAGCTGAGCCAGGCCCACATTTGGTGGAGGAGGGAAGACTCCCTCTGCCTCTACACCTCAGGGCACGCTCACCCAAGGGAGCACCCAGGCCTGTGCATGTGCTGGGCAGGAGGGGGTTGTTGGCACCAGATAAGACCCAATGCCTTTGAGGAGACCCCATGTCTTGGCCACAGGGCCATTCCCTCCCCTCAAGTTAAGACTCCCTTGAGGGCTCTCCTGGCTGCTTCTGCTGGGTGGGTGTCTGTGTGTGACTAGGTGTGTTAGCTTGTGGACTGTGGGTCTGTGTTTATAACAACAATAGCATACTATTAATTGAACCCTGTCTCTGTTACAGGCCGAGTAATCAGCGTCCTACAGATCTCATTTAATTCTCACATTTTCAAGCAGATATTATTATTATCTCCATTCTCCAGATGAGGAAACTGAGGCTCAAAGAGGAAAAGTGATTTGCTTAAGGTCACAGAGCAAGTAAAAAGCAGAGCTGGGATTTTAAACCAGGGCAGAAGCCAGGGCCTGTATACTGGACCGCCGGGCCGGACAGATTGCCTGTGCCTGTTGGGGCAGGGGTGTGTCTTGAATGTTAGCAATGTACATGCGACTGTGTATACAGGTAAGCAAGTATGTATTTATTTGGGAAATCTAAGAAGTCGCCCCTTTCTGATCCCTACACCCGGGCTCCTGAGGAACAGGGAGCAGCAAAGTCAGTTGGTAAAGCTGAAGCTCCCACACATAGACAGACCCCTCACCCTAACCATACCCTCCCCCCCCAGCAATGGAGCCAGGATTCTACCCCTTTGGGACAATAAGGTTCCTCACCCAGACACAGGCCCCAGCTGTCCCCCTCCCACTCAACAGCTGACCCAGCACCTGCCTCCCTCCCCTCCTTAATTAGGTGGTCTCAGTGGGGGCTGGGAGACAGGACTCCTATGATATTCATCTGCCTAGGCTATCCCTCTTATGAGTCTCCCTCTACTGGGCCTCAGACTTGAGGCATAAGCTGAGACTCACAGGGCCCCTTTTTCGTCAGGTCAATCTCTGTTCTACTGACATTTGGGACTGCACAGTGCTTTGTTGTGGGAGACTGTCTTGTGCATTGTAGGATGTTTAGCAGCATCCCTGACTTCTCCCCACTAGATGCCAATAGCACCATCCCAGTTGTGATAGTCAAAAATGTCTCAGCTGGCCTAGGCCGATGCACCCTCCAAGATGTCAGGAGAACAGAGGGGAAAGGAAGGGGACAGAGGGACAGAAGTCTGGGAGCGGGGTTCACAGGGTTAATGAAGAACATACCTGGATCTAAAAACGCAGCCCCCAATAATTCCTACTCACTACTTCCCACTCCAGAGGCCCACAGAAGCCCACTCAGTGTCAGACAGCAGGTCAGGAAGAAGACTGTAAAACTGAAATTGCAAACTCGCTCCAACACCACTACCACACACAGCTGACAGGTACAGCCACAGGAACAAGACCACTCAGAGAAGTGCCAAGTGTACCTCTATACTCAGCACTCATAGCTCGGGGAAAGAGCAGCCAGATAACCAGGGCTCAAATCCAGAGCCAAGGCACAAACACTCACTCATTGATTCATGAAATAATGGCATGGTCCCACACAGCCTCATTCCCTGCCTCCCCAAGCCTTCCTCTCAACACCAACCACCACCAATCCACCAGCCATACACAGCCAGGCAGAACCCAAGCTGTCCCTCTCCTGTGAACACAGAAAGGACCCCTGAGGCAGCCGCTGGGCACTCTCACATAGCCCATCAGTCCCTTTGCCCCTAACTCCACTATTGCCTACCACTCAGACACTCAATCCCTATATAAACAGAAACTGCACACAACGTGGAATGCACATCCTAACCCTTGCCCCTTCTACCTGGAGGATGTCTGAGGGGGTCTGTCTGCCAGGGACTGCCTGCATTTTTCCCCATCACAGCCACTCTGCGACAGAACCCCACATACTCTGCCCTTAAGGCCCCAGAAAGTGACCCCAGATACACAGCAGGAAGTGCCCCCTGCATCCTTCCTCAGCCTCAGGATAAGCCAAGTCCCCCACTCTGGAGGTGGAAGTGGGGCGGTGGGACCCCGACCCGGGCCCTCCGCACACAGTCACATAACACCCGGCCGTACCCCCGCACCCCCTCCCCGCCCACTCACAGGACGCAGAGCGCAAAGGCCCCAGCCACACTCTCGCTGTCTCGGACCAGGAAGCTGCCATCGCGGCCCGCTCGGGCCAGCAGCTCCTCCGCGGCAGCGCGGCTCAGGTCGCGGTGGTACCACGCGGGAGCCGGGCTGCCCAGCGCGCCCCCGGGCCCCGTGCCCCCGGGGCTCTGCGCCCCGCACGCCGAAGACATGGTCAGAACGGCTCAGCGCCGCCGGCGCCTTCCGCCTGGCGCCATCCACCCGGGACGCTCGGGGCTGTGGCTGGGGCCGGGCCTGGGTCCCGGGCCTCAGGATCCGGGGGCCGGACTGAGCCGGGGATCGGCGCTCCGGGCTCCACCGCTCAGGCTGCCTGGTTCGCTGCGCAGCCGTCGCCGCCTGCAGCGCCGGCCTCATCTTGAAGAGAAAGAAAAGTTTGTTCAGAGGCGGCGGGGGAGGGGCAGGAGCGGAGCGCAGAGCCGGGTTCCCAGCCACCCTCCCCCTCCGCTCGGCCCGAGGCCCAGGCCGCCCCTGCCCCCAACCTCTTCCCGCTGGGATGATGCCCCCACCTTCCCGGAGGACCCGGGACCTTCCAAATCCCACAATGATCCTGCCCCTCATCACCACCGCAAAGAGATCCAGTCCCCAAACCCCCAAAGAGATCCAAGACCCCCCATTCTGCGCCCCGACTTCAGGGTCCTGGCACCCCCTGGAGAATTCAACCGTCTTTAACACTCGCAATGATACGACCCCTAACCCTCGTACAGGTCTGATCCTACAGCCTCGCAGGATCGGGTTCACAAAACCCGCGAAGGATCCAGAATGAACCTCCCGCCATCCTTCCCCCCATCATCCAAGCGGGCAGGACCCCCTAACTCCCGTGAAATCCAGCCCCCTCTTAGATCTGGACCCCCAAACTCCACCGGGCCCGTTCCCCGACAAATCCCGTGGGGGATCCCCTCTATAGAGATCCGATCCCCCACACACCCCAGGCGAAATCCTCGAGACCGTCGCGCACCGTCCCCGGCATCCCCTCCCAGCCCGGCTGAGCCCTTCCCCCCTCTCGGCCAAGTTCCCTGGAACACCCCCACACACTCCCGCAGGCCGGGGCCTGGAGGGGTTCAGCAGTCCGACACGAGGAGTCCCCCCCTTTGCCCATCTAAGAGAAAGTTCCCTCGAACCCCCAGGCTCCCGACCTCTCCCCAGAGCCGCGGCCGCCGCGTGCAGACCCCCACCTCCCCGGTTGCTCCGGTGTCCCCTTCCCTGGGGAAGCAGCCCTGGACTCTCCGCGGCCACTTAAGATGGCCATCGGCCGCCGCCGCACCACCCCCCTTCCGCCCCGCCCGCCGCTCCGCCCCCGCGGGCCTCGGGGGATCCAAGGGTAGCACCCGCGCCCGCCTCACCGGCCCGCGGCTCGGTCCCGGAGCCGCTGCCCCGCCGAGGGACCTCGGGCAAGTCGAGGCACCTCTCCGAGCCTCGGCTACACGCTCTGTAAAATGGGGATAATGTTACGAGGGCAGACTCGATGGGACTGTGCTTGTAAAGCTCTCGGCACAGGGCCTGGCATCCAGCGGGCGCTCCCGAGCGGCGACTATTTTTATTATTAATTAAGGAGTAACGAAGGTGACAGCTGTGTCAACTATAAAGCGCGGCTGTGGAACGAACGGGTATTATTAGCACCCGCCCCCGCCTCAGCTACTCCCTGCAAGTCAACAAACTCGCGCCTCTGAGGGCCTGACGCCTAGCCGGGCGCTCCCAAGACTCCATACGCTCGGGAGCCCCCCCGGCCCCTCCCCTCCTGCCCTGGGCTGAATAGGGACTCGGCCGCCGGGAAGGGGGCGGAGCCCATGGAAGGGTCTGCCCCGCCCCTTCCCTAAAAAAGACCTAGCCGGTGGCGGCGTCTCCCGGGAGTCTTCTTCCTGCCTCGCCCCTCCGCTCCTTGGCTCCTTAAAGGCGCAGGCCTCCAGCCAAGAGCCTACTGCCGCCAACTCCTGGGCCGCTGCGGGAGGATCCCTTTAACCTGGGAGAGAACTTTCACTTTGCTAAATTGAACCTGTTGACGGAGCCCGGGTCAGTCCTGAGGAGCTCCTTCCTCTGCTTCAAAAATATGCATTGGCTTAACCCAGCTGGAACAAAGCCGGAGACCTGGAGGGGTCTCTGTGGGGCCTTCCAGATTAGATAAATATAACAACTGAGAGATTCACCCACCCACCCAACAGTGTCTCCAGATCCTACCAGGAACCCAATGACTCATCCTCCAATGTGCGCCAGCTTCTCTCACCATCACCTTTTGGTCTGAGGGAAGGTGAGCCTGGTGTGTGGGAGCGAGAGACCTGGACTAGGAGTACATACCTGGTTTCCAGTACTAGCTCGGCCACCCACCTACAGGGTGTACTCAGGTGCCTGTGGCTCTCTGGGGACAATTGCGGTAGGAATGTGGAAACAAACACTACCCCGAGGGGAAGGGGAGGCGGGAGACCCAGAGATCAACTCAGGCACAGCTCCTGAGGACTGTGCAAAGACAGAATAACCATCCACGATAGGTATATCTACCAATCCCGGAAGGAGACAAAGATGCCATAGAAGAGGCGTGACTCCAGCCCCTGGGAAACCTCTAAGGATCTCTAACCTTCTTCCAGCCATGCCTGGACACAGCAGGGCTGGACCAGCTCCAGGCTCTTGAGCTTTTCCTCTCCTCGAATCCCCCAGACCGCCCTCCCGGTTGGCTCTCTTCCCCCTCTGGGTCCCAAGCCCCAATTCTGTCCCTTCAATCCACATCATGTTAGGCAGTATAAATTTTTTCCCCTCCCACTGGAAATCCAGAGCATTTTCTGGACTCCCATTCCCAGCTTTCCCATTGCAGAGCCAGGCAGACAAGGGCTGGGGCAAAGGGGGGATGTTTGGGAACCAATATAAATAAGAAGTCCTGGACCTGGCTCTCAATTTTGGGCTACAGGAGCAACAGGATCACTGAAAACTATTAATGTGCAGGCACTGGGCTTTCTAGGCAACAGCTCCTTTACATTTCACAACCCCGGGGGAAGGATTATTATCCCCATTTTACTGAGGAGGAAACCAAGGTTTAGAGCAGTGAAACAACTGTTTCACTTTCACATAATAAGGAACAGGGCTGGGATTCAAACACAGGTCTAGTTGCTCTACTCTGAAGGAATCCAGAAGCTACTGAATCTGGCTCCCATCTACCCACAAACTCACAACCAAAATAATTCATCAGACATGGATATGTCAGTCTATTTACTGGAACTGACTGTTGGAGGAACCCCAAGCCCCATCATGGAGCAGAAACTGGGTGACAGGGGTGGAAATTGGATGGAGGTATGCTTAGCGCTCCCTCATTGTTGGGAGCTGAGCTAAGCCCAGCCTGGTAATCCAAGCTGGGGGCAGGCAGAGGGAGTTCTGGGGAGGACCAGTCTCATCCAAGAAGCCAGATTTGCAGCAGTAGGGCCAGGCTGAGCAGGAAGGCCCCAGTCCTATGGTCCCAGCACTCATGGCCACAGAATAGAACTTCTCTACCTCCTCATTGGGGTTGCCCTGAGCTGAGTCAAACCACATCTGGATGCAGCAGCCACTCCCTTGGCTGTAGTTGCTGACCTTATAGGAGTGACTCCAGAAGCCCTCACAAAGGGCAGCAGGTGTGGGGAAGTAGGACTCAAATGTGCAGCAGACAATCCCCGCTGGGCATTAGTTAATTCCTGAAGGGAGAGAGATAGTGGACACAGACATTCAGCCCCTGGGCCCACAGTTCATGTCTGGACACCCCCTAAAATCCTCACCTAACCCCAAATCCTCCAACCTGCCTTTTCCAAACCCCACCTCCATCTCCTCACCCTGAGGCCCTCACCTGAGGTCCAGTTCCAGCCCTCATGCCAGTAGCTCTTGCAGGTGTGGGAGATGCAACAGTCCTCCCACCAGCTCTGACAGTACTCTTTGCACAAGGGCACATCCAGGAAATGTTCTTTGCACCAGCTCTGGTCTACCTGGTGGGGGAGAGGGAGGCACTCCTGTCAGCCAGGGATGTTAGCAGCCATAGCCTTGAAGGAGGCTGAACCGGAGAGCAGCCTGCTGGGTTGGGGTGAGGGAGACACCTGTACCTGCTGGATCCAGGGCCCCAGTTGTCCTGGATGAAGTGGTGCTTGCAGGCAGGCTCCATCTTGCCACAGTGGTCCGAGTTATACAGGAGGGAGGTGTCCCTGTGCAGCTCCTGGATGGTGTTGACCAAGCAGCAGGCGTTTTTCCTCCAGGGACTGCACTGAATTGGGAAGACACAGGACAAAGTCCCCCAACCCTTCCCCACACACCTTCTGCCATCTCCAGCCTCTCTCCATTTGGTTCTTGCTCCCCTGCCCCAGGTAGATTGTCCTGGGAACAGTCACTGTGAGGGCACCTCCATTCTTGGCCTCCAGGAACCCCCATCTCAGGTGACACAATTACAGCAGTGTGATCAGGGGGCTGTGGGAGCCCACAGAGAACCCTGTCTTGGGAGTGGAATCCAAGCCTGGAACTTGGTATTATGAGCACCATGCTCTAACCAGCTGTGTTAACCAGCCAGCCCTGAATGGCTATCATTTATATATAGCAGTTAGCACTTTTTTAAAAAAAGTCTTTTCAGGGGCTGGCCGGTTAGCTCAGTTGGTTAGAGCACAGCCTTGTAACTCCAACATCGTGGGTTCAGATCCCCATACCAGTCCAGCTGCAAAAAAAGTCCTTACATTTATTCACTTAAAAAATAATTATTAAGCACCTACTGTATGCCAGTCACTGTCATAAATGCCATGAATACAGCAGAGAACAAAACAGAAATCTGTTCATGGGGCTTACATTCTAGACAGTAAGAAACTAAAAAAGAAAAAAATGTGGTATGTCAGGATATGATAAGTGATAGGGGGAAAATTAGATCTGTGGAGTATGGGATGATTGTTGAAATTTTAAACAGGGTGGATGAGAAAAGCCTCATTGGAAGGGAACATTTTGAGCAAAGGAGGAGAAGGTGTGAGCCAAGCAGTAATATAGTTTGAATAAATTTATTCTTCTTGGCAAGTATTAAGATGTGTGTCTCCAGTGGCTAAGCCAGTGATAGACACATAGTAGGCCTACAAAACTATTTGCTGAAAAAAATTAATAAAAGGCCTATTTATGATTTCCTAAATCTAAACTTGTCTCCATCTTACATGTAGACACATCATATTTTTGCAGGTTTTTAATATAGACTGTGTTTTCCAGGACTGAAAATACCATGAAATGGAAGGCTGTACTGTGTGTTTTGTTTGATTGGAGTTAATCACTATTTTAGAAAACCATATTATCAGTGGCAAAACCACGTAGAGTATCATATTATAGCATTTAAGTTGCCAATAGAACACACCTGTATCAATCTTCATTTGTAGCTGCCCCATTCTTAATGACTTCGTGAATGAAAGCAAGCATGTGCTGTTTCCTAATGCCCTCTAATGTAGTCATACCAGAGAACTGACATGTTGAAATATGTATTTTTTTTTATAAATTACTTTCTCTTTGCTTCTCCTTTGTATTAAAGGTAGGGCATTATGTTGATTTTTAAAAATTATATGTACAAATATGTTCTATTAGCTTTGAATTTTATTCCAGGTTTAAAAAGAGAGTCTAAAAAATATTTGTCATTGGGCCGGCCCGGTGGTGCACTGCGATAGTGCGCCGCTTGGGAAGCGCGGCGGCGCTCCCGCCGAGGGTTCGGATCCCACATACAGACCGGTTCCCGCTCACTGGCTGAGCGAGGCACGGGAACAACACCGAGGGTTGCAATCCCGTTGCCAGTCCCGGTCCGGTACGGGGGCGACACTGAGGGTTGCGATCCATTGCCGGACACGGAAAAAGACAAAAAAAAAAAAATTTGTCATAAAAAAAGAGACAGTTGAGTCTAATCAGGTTGCAATCCACTGGCATAAATGTGAAGAGACTGTATGAATCTACAGCCCCTACACCATGTATGACAGTCAGAGGGCCCTTCTCCCCTCTACCCTTCTACTCCATGGAACTGGCATGTAGTGAGGGCAGGAAGAGCCATCTCCCCCATTGTCTCTCACCCTCCAAACCCCTGGAGGAGCCCGCCCCAGTCCTACCCTACCCCACCACTAGGGCTGGTCATGTCCAACTCCTGTGTGGATCCACATGCTTGTGTGGGCCTCAGTTTACCTTGTTTGTGTAATGTGGAGAACATCATCTATCTATATCAAAAAACCACTGGGAGACTTCTCGGAGCTTCTCCCTGACAAGCAAAGAGACCCTTGGGTCTGGTTCTTGGACTTTCTTCGGCAACGTGGCCCCAAACGCCAGCCTTCCCTTCCGCTTCAAACGAAGAAACCAAGACCGCCTCCTGTCCCAAAGTCAGAGGAGACATCAGCCTTCCTATACGTCCCAAAGAAAGGAAAAGAACAGCAAGAAGCAATTGAACATATTGATGAAGTACAAAATGAAATAGACAGACTTCATGAACAAGCCAGTGAGGAGGTCTTGAAAGTAGAACAGAAATATAATAAACTCCGCCAACCATTTTTTCAGAAGAGGTCAGAGTTGATCGCCAAAATCCCAAATTTTGGGGTAACAACATTCATCAACCATCTGCAGGTGTCCGCACTGCTTGGGGAGGGAGATGAAGAGGCGCTGCATTATTCGACCAGAGTTGAAGTGACAGAATTTGAAGATATTAAATCAGGTTACAGAACAGATTTTTATTTTGATGAAAATCCTTACTTTGAAAATAAAGTTCTTTCCAAAGAATTTCATCTGAATGAGAATGGATCCATCTTCAAAGTCCACTGAAATCAAACGGAAATCTGGAAAGGATTTGACACAACGTTCAAGTCCAACACAGAATAAAGCCAGCAGGAAGAGGCGGCATGAGGAACCAGAGAGCTTCTCTACCTGGTTGACTGACCATTCCGGTGCAGGTGCAGCTGAGTTAGGAGAAGCCATCAAAGATGATATTTGGCCAAATCCATTACAGGACTACTTGGTTCCTGGTATGGATGATGAAGAAGGGGAAGGAGAAGAAGATGATGATGAAGAAGAAGAAGGATTGGAAGATATTGATGAGAAGGGGATGAGGATGAAGGAGAAGAAGATAAAGATCATGATGAAGGGGAGGAAGGAGAGGAGGATGAAGGAAAAGATGACTCATAGAACACTGATGGATTCCAACCTTCCTTTTTTTTTTTTTTTTTTAATTTTCTCCAGTCTCTGGAAGCAAGTTGCAGTCTTCCCCCCGCCCCTTTTTCCCCCTCTTTGCTCAGTCACCCTGTTCTTGAGATCTCTTTTCTCTACACCATGGTTCTCAACTTGTTGGGGGAAAATGCCTTGAGCAGAATACATGGGGAAAGAATCTCTACCCCTTTCTGTTCTAAATTCATTTTTATCCCTTCCTGTCTCCACAAAAACAGTATGGAATCAACACCACCGTGCTCTGTGGGAAAAAAGAAGAACCTCCTGCTCCTTTCACTCTGCTGGAAGCTGGAGGCTGCTAGGCCCCTGTGTAGTAGTGCATAGAATTCTAGCTTTTTTCCTCCTTTCTCTGTATATTAGGCTCAGAGATTATACTGTGTCTCTATGTGAATATGGATAGTTAGCATTTACCAACATGTATCTGTCTACTTTCTCTTGTTTAAACAAACAAACAAACAAAACTTTAAAAAATGGGGTTACAGAAGGTCAGCAAAGGGTGGGTTTGAGATGTCCAGTTGGGTTAAGTGGGCATTTTGACAACATGGCTTCTCCTTTGGCATGTTTAATTGTGATATTTAATGGACATCTTTGCAGTTTAAGATGACACTTTTAAAATAAAATTCTCTCCTAATGATGACTTGAGCCCTGCCACTCAACGGGAGAATCAGCAAAACCTGTAGGATCTTATTTGGAATTGACATTCTCTATTGTAATTTTGTTCCTGTTTATTTTTAAATTTTCTGTTTGTTTCACTGGAAAGGAAAGATGATGCTCAGTTTTAAACGTTAAAATTGTACAAATTGCTTTATTACAATAAAACTAAATGTGTACACACACAAAAAAAAACCACTGGGAATATAAAATCATGTACAGAAAACACATGATATCTAATAGGTGCTCAACCAATGATTACTCAATGTCATTACCAAGATGGTATCCTCTTCTGGAGAGGGCACCCCCAAAATTACCTCAACCGGTTGCGGAGAAAAAGGAACTCTCATACATTGTTGGTGGGACTGCAAAATGGTGCAGCCTCTATGGAAAATGGTATGGAGGTTCCTCAAACAATTGCAGATAGATCTACCATATGACCCAGCTATCCCACTGCTGGGAATATACCCAGAGGAATGGAAAT